GAAAAAATCTAAAGGTTTTTTGTTCCCCTCCTCTTTTTTTAAATTATAAAGTATATATTAAAATTGTTCAAGTAATACACTTTGCTCAAAAAAGAGTAGATCAGGGATAAATACATGGAGAGTTTAAAACATTGTCAAGCAGAGGACTATAGTATCAGCCCTGCCTGGACACTGCTGAATAACTGCAACTTTTACAAAGGACATTCAAATTTACTGTGCCAATATCCAGCCTGGGAGGGTAAACAGAACAAACCAAAATAAACCCAGCAGAAAGCTTTAGCCAACCATGTAAGAAGCTAAACTGAGGTTCCAACAACATTCATTTTAGCAAAAGAGAAAATATGTTTCCTTAAAAGTCTGGACTTAAGGACCAAATCAGTCTGGATGACAGAGTTCAAAAGAAATCCTAAGGAAACTCTGAAGTGTGCACAGATGCAGGTTCCTGTGAAACACAACCAGGAGCAGAAAAGGATAACAGACACACAAGTGAGATTCTCTTGAGAAATCAGCATGCCTTAAATATGCACTGTGAATATAAATTAAACTAGAAAAAGAAAGAAGTGGCTGCACACATAGATATGATACAAATGGCCAGTGCAAAATGTATTTATCCTCTTTTAGTTAAAACCATACATGTGTAATGTATTAAGCCAGCAAAAAGTTAAATAAACTTTCTTGAAAGCTTGTAACATTTCTATCACAGAAATAACAACACTTACCTCAATGATTCCATTTATGAAAATATTGTAACAAACTTTTAAAATTAACAGCCAAAAAACATCAGCCTAGAGAACTATCTCTGCCTTGGGACAGACAGATGCAGACAAAGCCAGCAGAGAGGCCCCAATCACACAAAAGCTGATATTGTTCTCCTGCTGGGTGAAAATCTCACTTGTAAATTGAGGGACATCTGCATTCAGAGTCAGCCCAGGCAGGGCCCTGCAGAGGTGACCAAAGCCCAGGAGAATGATTTCTGTGATCTCCTTTGGGGCAGGCAGCTGCAGCAAGCAGCAGCTCCTGGGTTTCCATCTGAGAGCAGAATTCCTTAGATGCACTGACAGAGATGAAACATCATGGATAAAACATCATGGATAAAACTCTACCCACTAAGCACAGCCTTGAAGCCCACTAGACTTTGCAAAACAAATAATAATTGAAGTAAAAGACCTCCAAAATTAGTAACCTCTTCACAATTCTTTCCAACTTGTTTATCAGTACTGCTAACACAGGACAGCAGTGTCTCACAGGATGTCTTTCATGAAAGTCAATAAAAAAGAATTTAATTTAAGCATTTGATAAGGCTTCTAAAAATCTGTCCATGGTAATAAAAAACTGTCTTCACTACTTAAATTTAACTCTGTTTTTCCATTAAGTTATTTATATACTGTACTGCATTCTTTATCATCTAAATTGGATATTGGAATGAAACAGTCTATAAAGCTTTATATAGTCATAAATCCAGACATTTCTAAGTGACACAGAGAAATGTCCTACAGCATACACCACAATTTTGATCATCATACATTTAACAGAGCAAGAGAAAAGAAAAATCCGTCCAAACCAAAGTTACTCTTTTACTTTAAAAAAAAAAATCAATTAATAAACAATAAATTTTTTAGGCAGTGAATATTTCTATATGGCTGTTTCTAGAAGGGCCTTTTCTTTACTCTCTGCAGTAAACACAATTAAGTTTTTAATAATGAAATGTGAAACTTATGTGCAGGAAAAACCCCACTCAACAGAAATAATAGGATTCTATAAAATGATGAAAAAACCACACAATGAAACTATTCAATAAACCCACATCAGGATATGCTTCTGCATTGTAGATTTTGGCTGAGAGTGATTAACTACTTTCTAAGCAGTTGGCACCTTTTTACTCCTTGTTTTGAACACCTTTGGCCACCAAGTAAATTGAAAGAGAACCTTAAGACAGTTACCTAAACAAATTAATCAATTAAAAACAATCAATAGAATGATGCCTTCTTTGGCCTTCAGAGGTGCCTGTCCTCATAACACCCAAGTTAATGAATTACTGAGAAAGAAGATTTCTATTTTGTAGTCTGAAAAAAACCCAACACATGGGTAACTTGCACCCTTAACAAAATAATTGTTCTTTCCTTTTTGGCCTTCAGAAAAAGTTATTTCAGAGGCAAAAGAAGATATTTCAGCAGCAGGCATGATCTAGCATCATGTGCTTAATCTAAAAATAAGGATAACTCTTTCTCAAGAGTAGGAACATGAGAACAAATTTAACTGTGGAAAATGGCCACAGAAGAGGAACGGTATTTAATGCAAAGTGACAGCCAGAACTTCACAACAGAAGAGAAAATTCCTACTTAGTGGGATATAATGGTTTATAGGTTACTTGGTCTGGAAGCTTCTTCAGTAACCCCAAATACTCTAGGAGGAATAAAAAGCTTCCCTGACAGAACTTCATCCCAGTACAACTGGTGATTTTTCCTGAGACAGAAATTGGAATAGTATTGATACAAAACCAGAAATCAATCTCCCACATGTAAGTTACTGACATGAAAAAACTACCCTTTCAAATAATACTGAAACTTGCTTCAGGGTTTAGAAGATGTATTTCAGGACACTGCACTCTTTCAGAATTTTATTCTGTATTTTTCTAACCAAAGCATCTTTGGGAGGATTCTATCATCTCCCTTCCATGTAGCACAATAAAAGAAAAATGCTTTTTGATGGCATTTTGTTCTCACAGATATCTTTATAAGGTGTAATTAAATGTATCCCTTTCTGTTTATAAGAAAAACTGTGATGAAGAATGTGAAAATTGCACAACTTCACTGCTGGTGTTTCTTATTTGAAAAGCTACTACAGCCCATTACAGCAATAACAGGTCATGAATGAAGTACTAGGAACCTGACTGGTACTGTCAAGAGCAGAAAGAAGCAAAAGCATTGCAGAAGCATGACTTAATGTCTGGCAGACCTGCCATCCAGAAAAGTACTGAAACTAAGGCCATGTGGTTTACCAAAGCCCAAGAAGTTATATGATAACACAGTAATGGTTAATAAATATCTAAAACCTTTCTGCATGAGTGACACAAGTATTTTGGTTCTTACTACACTCATATTACTCTACTCCTCTCCAGATTTTTTATTTCTTGTTCATATTAACTGAGAACCCTTCTGTATTGCAGCATGCCATATAAAAAGTAATTTAAGCATCTGGTACACTAGGTGAACTTAAATTGGGAAAAAAGATTCATATTTTAATGCAAATTTGCAAAGATGAGTTGTTGGAGATACAATTCAGGAAAGTCATGAGCTCCTAGTCCCTTCTTCCTGTGTGTTTCATATCATTTTATCCAATGACTGTTGATGTAAAATGCATCAACAGTTATCAGAGAACAAAGATGAGACCTGCAGTGTTGTGCCAGGGCAATGCCACCATCACTTAGCAGCCATCCCCATCTCTGCATGCTGCAGTCCCAGGGGCAGCTGTGCTGTGGGGGAGCTCTGCCAGCAGCTTTGTGTTCAGGCCAGCTCAGAACCCAGCAGCTGGGGCCACTTCCAGACTGGAATCCCTTAAACTTCAAGAATGCACAGAATTCAAGTGACTGATCAAACTGTAACAAGTGTACAAATCATTCACTACATTTTAAAGAGGCTGGACACCAAAGGACCTGTGCCTCTGTTTATATTCAGCTCATGCTCCTGCAAAGCTGCACAGAGGAACCAGAGCACCCAACAGTTTTGCAGAAACTCTCTCAAAGTCTCTACAAACATCATCATCTCCCTGCAGATCAGACAGCTGGAATGACTCCTACTCCTGTGGCTCTTTCACTGGGTGAAAAACACACACACCTTGTTAGATTTGTGATATTCACTGAGTTGTTCAGTTTTAGACATTGTACTAAAAAGGTCATCATCCATGTGATCACACAAACATTTTGGTTTGATCCAGGAGTGCATATTTTAAATTCATCTCATTATGCCCACCTACCATTTTTTATTTTTCACTGTACAGTGTTACCAGAGCATATTTACTCTCAAACAACATTAAAATAAAAGATGCTGTTCACCTACCAGTGGTTATTCAGCTCACAGGACTGCAGCACAACTGGCATAGAGTAAAAGCAGTCAGAACACACAGGACTGGCAGCCCTGGCTCCTCAGTGCCAGCTGCTTTGCCCTGCAGATGTGCCACTGCTGTGTCACAGCACCTGCCAAGCTGCTCCTGTGCATTTGGTTCCATCTGGAGTTTTTTCTCAGTGCAAGCTGTAGATTGCTTTAGAAAAAGTTGGTCTTCCCTAAAAGCAAGTCCTCTGTCTTCAACATGATCTATCCACATAGCCCAGAAAAAAGCATCAGGGAAAGTATTTTTTCTGCTACCCTTTTTGACTTTTATTTTAGACCTCAGTGCTGTGCAGATACAAAGGCACTGACAGCATGGTGTGCTTTTGAATTTGCCATTCAGTGAGTGTTTTGGCACTCCAGTAAGACACTGCTGCCTTATGGACTAGCAGCTCTCCAGAACCACAGAGAAATACAGATTTCAGATGATTGAGCCTATTCCATACCATATCCAAGCATGAAAGAGAAATGAGCATATCTTGGTGCATCACACAAAAAATTTCACACTTGTAAGAATATCCCCAGACCTGGCCTAACATTAGTAGATTTAATGTTAATAATAATAGAATATGTACAGTTATAAAGTTGCAATTCACATTTAAAATAAAAACTAAAATCTGGCCCTTATTAAAGGAAAAAAATCTATTCTGTTTAATTATTTTAAAGCAAACCTATTAACTCAAACTCTTAATCACTTACATATTCTAAAATACTCTATGTTACAGTAGTAAAAATGTGTTTTTGCATAAAGTGCTGGATGATTCTTACATTCTACAACTAAAGAAATTGATTTTGGTATCAAACAAGAAAGGGGAATATGCTCAGGATAAAATAAAATATTATCCAATGAACAACAGATACAGGAACACATTCAAATTTTTATCACAGAAAACTTACATCAAGTAACGTGTGAAGATGCTGATCCTGGAAAACACTGTGAAGAAAATCTAAGTCTTTTTCACTGCAGTCTGTAAGTGCATGAATTTCTTCCAGGCTGTCCAGCACCTGTGAGACTGCTCCTATGGGGCAACAGACAGGGGAAAAAAAAAAAAAAAAAGAATAAAAAAATCAATAAAGCAAAGGCTCATGGTAAACTGAACTTTGGAAAAAGAAACTTTCAATTCATCTGGTACAACTGGAATAGGAGCTTAAAAAAGCTGGAGTTTTAACAGGAAAACTCACTGAATAAATTTTACATATATCAAAAGTGCTCACAGTTAATGTAATTATACATAAGAAATGGCTTAATGGGAGAGAGGTCAGAACCTGATTTTATTAAGCTCAGCTTTGTTCTATTTTAGCTGTGCTTCCAACAATGTCTTATGGAGCCACTTGGATTATTGTTGGCCTGTTCTCACCATTCCAACCTTCACTTCTCTTTTTTAACTGCCAGACAACTTCAAATACATATTGTACAATTTTGAAACATCAGTAAGAATTATTTTGAAATCAAATCCCAAACACTGGTAAAATCAGGAAGAACCAATCACAAATATTTTTAAAATCAGCATCAGGATAAAGGAGGGAAGAGGGAGAAACACCTGACTGCTGAATCCCCTGGGGGACAAAAAAGGCTGTAATGTGTTTTTGTTCTGTTTGTCCTGCTTGCCTGGTTCTCTCCTATCCAGCTATCACCCTGCTTTTTCAGCAGGGCATGGGTTTGGGTCACAGGATGATGGGGATGATTTTTATATGGCATGGGGGTGAGAGAGAAGCGAGAGCTATGGAGACAAAAAGGAGAAATGGGAGGCACTGTGGAAGGTGGAAGTCCATGAGGGAAAGCTGAACTCTCAGCAGGAGTGGACAAAGAAACACAATACAAATCCAGAGTAAACCACTCCACAGTGGTTCTGTGTGAAACACCTTGTTTAAAAATCTGAGTATCAGTGGTGGCTGCCACCTGTGTGCTTTACTAGGATGCCAGCTTTGGCTTATCTCAACACCCATGGATCATGTCTTCACTTTTTCCACTGTGGTAAAAGCATTTGCTAAGAAAGCAGCATATCCAGTGAGAGTCTGCAGCAATGCTGGTGGTCTGGCAACTGAATGCTTTTTCATAAATAAATTCTTAATTCTGGATACTGAATTCTACACATGCTCTATTTCACTAATTTCTCATCAATATGCTTATTCTGTTTACTTACACATTGCCTGTGTCTTTTTGACAAGATAGATAACATCTAAAAAAATTGCTGCATTCCTTGAAATTCTATCTTCTATTGCATGAACAATTCTTATCAGCCCTCCTTAACTCAAAGCCTTTTGTACTGCATTTTCAGAATGTAATAAAAACAATATACCAAACTGCCTCTTAACCACACAAGGAAAGAAGTTAACTTATTTCTCTGAAAATCTTGAAAAAGTGAAATAAATATAACAAAATACACAAAAACTACTATACAAGACTTGCAACCTCATGGCTGAGAAGGAGAAATAAATTACAAATCTAGAACTCTTGCATCACATTTAGTACAAACCTCAGCCTAAAATTCTCCTCACAGTTCTCTGTACAAGGTTTGAGAACCACAATATCTCCCTCACTCACAACTCATGTCTCAGGAGCAATAAAACTTCTTAGCTCTCTCCCATCAAGTGTGTCTGACTACTTACACCTATTTGATGTACTAATTTATGTTCTTTTAAAAACCTATGGCTGTCAGCAAGTAAAACAAATGCTTTGACTTTTAGTAGTTGCTGTGCACGAGGTCAGGTGCACTGAAAAAAGAGAAAAATTTGCTTCCTCTTTGATAATGAACAAGAATGCTCAGCTGAAAGAACCATCCACATCCCTCTGCCAGAGACACAGCAGGAAACCTGAGGAAATATAAGAACTGAGGATCTGCTGGTAAGAGGATGGAGAGATCCCAGCCAAGCCTCAAAGGCAAGGAAAAAAACCTACCCAGGGACCCCAAAAGGACTGCACTGTTTCCTTTCCATGTTCAGCACATCAGTTAAAGGCTGATGGACTTAGAGATCTCCATGCCTGAAGGAAAGTGCTTGACTTTCCAGGATCCAGTTGGTAAAAGAAAATTTGTTAAAATTCTCTTTTATTTCTGCTCTTTTCATGCTCAGAGTTTGAATTATTTTATTTTCAAGCAAAGCCTCTTTTTCTGGGTTCAAAGCCTTTTCTGTCTATTTGGGGTATTTAAGGAAAACTCAAGAGAAGATTCACTTCAGAGCCTGGGGATCTTAAGAGTCTCTAATACTGCTCAGTGTTGCCCATAATCCCCAAAACCTGAGCCAAATCTGGAACCAGTAAGAAGTGTGTTCCAAGTTGCCTGCAGTGCTGTGTTACTGTGAAACAACAAAAGCTCTGGACCACCACATACCTTATGTGACAGTATTATTTCCTTTGCAAACTTTATTTTGTGGAATACTTTGAGGGCTTTGAAATAGAAATGAAAGTTATGATTTTTCAATATTTGCATCTCAACAACCTCTTGAATATTTGGGAATTTAAAAAAAAATTAGGGTTTGATCATCAGGTCTTTTTTTTCTCCTGTTCATTGGTCACATTGACTAGAAGGCTGTAAATAAAGTTTCCAAGAATGCCCTTAACAAATTTCATGGGACTTTCTGATAGTGACTTTGTTAATCTCCCAAATGACAGTTTTTATCTTATATTTTTATTTCTACCTATAATCTTATGTTTCACCTACTGCCATGCCCCTCACTCATTTATAAATAATGTGCATCTGCATGAGCAAATGGCATAGCAGCAATATACTGATGGCATGTTAATGCTTAAAAAGAAGTGACAGAAAATTTTACAGGAATTTTTGTGAACACCTAAACTCTCTTTGTTACAGACATCTGTTAAAATGTCTAAAACTTCCTTTCAGAAGAGTTTTATACTCAGGGAAGAGATACTACATAAAATGAAGTTAACCAACCTTTACAGCACACCCGTTTCTAAAAACATTCATATTCAAGCTAAATTCCTAACCTTTGGGGAAAGTGTAAAGGTACTCAATATTTATAATTAAAACTTATATCCTCTTGAAATAGGATTTAACTTCTTTTCAACATTGCAAGTGCACCCATTTTAACCTCAGCACAGATGATAAAGGACTTAAGTGAATTATTGCAGTCATACAAACTAAGATCTCAGACTTCTCATGGTTGTAGCAGTTACAGACAGAATCTAGAAGTATGAAAATTAGAATGATGCATAAATATTAGTAAGGCAGGAAAAATCAGGAAGTTGACTAACTTGACTGACTGTGTTAATTTGTTTTTAAGACACCATAAAGTAAACTTTGTTAGAAAATCCTGCTCACTGCCCCAGAATTTTCAAGCAGCCCCAACTTTTGGGTGAGATGAATCTCACCCTGCACCTTAGGTTACTATAAAACCAGATCCAATTGCACAGGAAAGGCTGCAATTCCAGTGATATAAATAGAAGACTCTTCTCTGCAGAAACAGGAATAAAATCCACACCAAACATGGTTCTGTGAGAAGACTCTGGATCCTCCTGTAAATGCACAGTAAATGACCTCAGTGTCAAAAGGAGCAGGGACACTCTGGGCCATGCACACAGCCTTGTCTTCCCTGTATTCCCATAAGAAAACCTAAGAAAGAATGGCTGCAGCTACTCAGAGTTTCTTGGGGAATGCCAACTGTGAAAAGTTGAAAACTATGAGCTGTCATATATAAAAAAGAGGAAAAACCACATTAGAATGCTTATGACAGTCTCCTGCAGTCACCACTAGTACATAAAATGCTTTTACAGTTACTGGAATGACTTCCTAAGGATGATACCCAATTACTTCTGAGAAGACAGAGATGAATTGAGCAGTTTTCTGCCTACTGAGGCAGATCTGTTATTTATCAGAGACATATCTGCCTTGTGAGGTAGAAACTTGGGAATTTCTCTTCACGCAGTGCACAAAGTTACCATGGGTATTTTGGGCAGGTTCTACCACCTCATTTTTGGAGAAGGCCATTGAGAAATAGTTTTCTGTTACAGCTGAATTATGCCTCTAGAGTCTGTGGGTGTCATACAGTGCACCTGAAGTTGCTATGGACACAGGTTCTTCAGGCTGGAAGTAGGCAAAGCTTTGGTAAAATAGCGTTGTTACTACAACATCCAGCTATTCTAGTCTGGAACAGGTGGTTTGACTAAAGAAACTGAACTTTAAAGGTAGGGAGGAGTTGCTTACTTCTCCCCAGAACAGAGTAAAAGAGAATTTTAAATACTGTTCCAAGAATTGCCTACATGTTCTGCAGTTGTCATGTGTCCCCCCAGTACAAAGCATCCCAAAAGTTTGCTTTTCTAAGGCTTCTCAGCACACCAGGAAGGTATTAACTGCCTCCCTCTGTTATGTAACAGGCAGTAAATAGAAATAGGAACCTCTTTTCATGTGACATGATCTGCAACATTGTACAACTGAATAAAGTGTTTAGATAAAGAGACTCAGGTATTGCTACAAAGAACAGACTACATCCTGACTGCAAGCACATTCTGAATGAGGGTAAAAGAACTCCTTGGTTTATTTTTTAACACTGAAGATTATAAATACTCAGGTAAGTCTTGGGTCAGTCATAAACCCACTTCTGAGTAGTGAAAACCCAGAACTCAAGAAGCCTGACATAGTTTAAACACAAAACTATAAACACCTTTTTGCCAGTCTCCTGCAATTACTATGCCAGGAAATAACTCTGCAGAACTTATAATAACCATTATACTATTAGCAAGTTTTTATGAAAGAGACATTGGCAAAATCTAAATCTCTTAGATTTGTAGAGCCACAGAAAATGAAGTTCATGACACCAGCCACTCATTTGTATCCTGTTCATTCTTATAAACTATCTTTATTTGACTGGCTTTTCAATTATTCTTTATGTTGTGTAAATAGGTAAGTAACTGTGTCTTGAAGATTTCACAGTGGTATTTAAATGACTAAGCAAGGCTTTGCTGTCATTTGCAATTTCTCTATATATCACAGTTCAGTCCTTATGCCAGCCAATCTGCAATAAACAGAAGCTGATTTCTCTCAGCCTCATCTTGTGGCTGCCTTCTCATGGGCAGCTGCTGGAAATGAAATTAAAAGACCAATCCTGGCTCTTAAAGCACAGCCATTTCAGAAGGCAGGATTTATTTTACTTTGTTTGTGAAGAGGTCTCAGGGCAGTACATCCAGCAAGGAAAGACGAAAAATCATCAGAAATTGTTAAATTTTAGAGAGACCAAATATTAGAATCACAAAATGAAGTCACAGGATACAACCTCACAAAAGAAAAAACAATCATGGGCATTATTATAAAGTGCAGACCTTTCCACTACTTTAACTGATGTAACTTCTCAGATTTAGAGACAGCCAGCTGAGCATCAGCTGTTCTTCATCACTTGCAACAACATCTGCAAAAATCACTGGAGCTGAGATGCCTCTGATCTCACAGAGTAATTTGCTGCTCTTTGCTGTTCACTGTATTCCAGAGCAACTGACTCTGCAGGAGCAGATGACAGCCAAAGCAGGTGTATACATGTACATGACTATAATAGTTTAAAATAAGGTGGCAGATACATGCTTTACATATACACAGCAGTGTAATTAAAATGTAAGGCAAGTAAAGGCTCTGTCCTGCTCAAATTTGAGCTATAAGGCATTTCATGACTTCTTCCTTCTTGGACTGAAATCAAACAGTGAAGTTTAGACACCCTATAAATTTACAAATAAGCTCCTACATGCACAGAGTTCTGTGAATGCTACTGGGAAGCAAATAAGGCAGTGATAAAAGAAATATATGTATATACATACAGTGCATATATATAAAACAATCAGGAAGAGTGTAGTAAGAGAGCTGGAAAGATGGAGGTTTATGGAGATGACAAGAACAATTCAGAAAGAAGACTGCTGGTGCAATGGAAGGGTATTGGGATTTACAACTACGTTAAAGAAGGTGAGAATATCTAAGGAGTACAAGAAAGGAGAGAAAGGCAGGTAAAGTCAGAAAATAAACTAAAGGAAATAGGTGCAGGAGAGAAAAACAGGGAGAAAGAGGCTAAACAAAGGAAAAAAGAAAAATAAAGAAAAAAAGAAAACAAGAGATTGTTTCCAAACAGCAGAAGGAATATAGAGGAGAGTACTATGTATGGAAAACAACAAAGGATGGGGGGAAGAGGAAGTGGTGGGGGAGAGGACAAAGAGGGCAGCAAGAAACTGATGCTTAATTTTGAAGAGACTTTTTTCATCCTGCCCACACAGGGGCACTGAGAGTGGGCAAGGCTCCACTTTCTCCTGTCTCCATACTTGGCACCTTCACACAGTTTGTCAACTCTTTTTCCCAGCTACCCCTCACTGAAAATCCAACCACAGATATGACAGAAGCCAGTCTGGTGTGGTGGCAAAGAAACAAGCAGAAGTGTTGTTTTACCCACCAGACCTGTAGCTTACATGTAAGTGCACTCACAAGCAACTAAACAAATGAGTGTTTAAATAGATGAATGCCCTTCACTATCCCTTCCTTAGATCCTTTCTTTCTCCTGGCAAAAATGTCTAAAAACCCCCTTCTGACCAGCATGACAGCAGCACACCCTTATAGTCAGTTTGTGGAAGAAAAGTCTCTATGCACAAACAAAAACCCAAAAATCATGGCACAGGCTTTGTATAAGATCTTTTTTTCTTCCCCCCTACAACTGCTTAAAAATAATACTATCACAAAACCTTTATACAAAAATCCATTGAACTTTCACTCTCATGTTACTGGACAGGCATTCTGAGATGGGGAGATAGGAGGAAAAGGAACAACTTCCCTCACAATCTGTAAAACCAAAAGAATGAACCAAACAACAACAACCACAGAATCCATGATTGATCAGAGATGGAGACAAGGACACATGTCCTGCTGACATGTCCTGACCTAGGACAGAAGCAGAGCTGTTAATCTACAAGTCTCAAAATGCTGCAGGAAACCCCCACTTTCTATAGCTTGTTCTTGGGGAATGAGTTTTTGCTGAATTAGTTGTTTTTGAAATGGCTGTGGTTTGTATCAAAGGATCTAAAATTTCACAGCTTCTCCTCCGCCTAGGTTTTAGAAATACTTGTGGTCCCACTTTCTCACAAAGTGTGCAGGTGCCTTGCAGCAGAAGCTCCTCCCTACATGCTAACAACATTCCTTCATTGAGGAGACACATTTTGGATAGTTATTGAAATCAGGTGTATGCATATCCACAGTGCATATGCATAGATCAGGTAACACATATCAACACAGAAGGATCAAGAAAGGTCATGCAAGCTGAGAGCAAGAATATAATATTTGACTAATATTACAGTAAATGTTTGGTAGTAGAAAGAAAAAAAGCAAACATTAGTCCATGAAAACAATTTTGGAATGAAAATGCAAACCCAAAATATACTTTATTAATTCAATGAAAATTAAATTTTAGTTCAGTTGTGTTGCAAATATTAAATATTGGGAAAAAAACCCCCAAAACTCAGGTAATTTTAATACTGCCTCTAAATTAGAACCTTCAGAATTGCCTGGAAATCATCCTTCTGCTTGATTACACTGTTGAATATATATTACACTGTACACAGATTTAGTCAATACCATATAATTTTGTCTGAACAGGCAGTATTAAAACTGAAAAGAGCAAAGAGAAGCAAAAGAAAGCAGATTTTTAAACATGCAAAGACACACACCATAGCTGACTGATATGCCTTAAAGGAAAACAAAGGGATACCTACTTTCTGCTGCTAGAAGTCCTAGAAGGAAGGCAGCATTTGGACAAACAACAAACAGTATGAAGATTTCAGAACCAGCCATTTATAAAGCTGCAACCTAGCAGACTAATTTAGCCACAAAATAGTCTCAACAAAGTGACAAGGATCCCCCCCAGTTTTTAATATGGATTTTCTATGTGTGAAGCAAATGGCACTGGCAGACTGGGATGGGAGGAAAACAAACACTTGGCATTGGGAAGGCAGCACATGGATGCAGTCTTAGAGATCTATTAATACCAGACTTTTCCCAACATTGGTTAAACTATTTTAAAAACTCATGGACAAAAAGGGATTTTTTAGTAAAAATATTGTAGGAGTTGAAATGATAAAATAATTCAACATACTGCAAATGATTCATAACATATTAATATACTTAGTAAGCAAAATTTAGCAATGTTATATTGAAATCAAAAGTTTCAGTGAAAAATGTTATGTGAACCATTTAGAAATGCAACCACTTCTTTATTGCTTTTAATTAACAGTGTCTTTATGCCCTTTTAAAAAAAATTTAAACATATCAGAGCAAAGAATCAATAGCTGAAAATCATAAAGTTAATAATGGAATGTTGGAAACACACAAACTCATGATCTCAAAACTGATAGCTGTGCTTGTAATACTAGCAAAGGAATTAGTAACAATTATAAGGTGAATGTAGTTTTTTTCTCCCCAAGCATTCATATTGCAAAATGTTACAGAACACCCTTTGCAAATATTTACGAAATCAATGCTAATTTTTGCATAACAAAAGTGGGGTTTTTTCCTTACTTCTGTTGATGAAACTGATGGGTTTTAAGATAGGGGCTTGTATGGACAATATTTCATGAATTCTAAATCCCATAAAACAACTAATAATTCTAACTTTTGTGAGTTCAGCTACTTCCATGTATGTTGGAAACAGTGAGCTCACAACTTGTCTGTATCTGTGCTGTTTGACCTTGCTCTGAAGGACTAAGAGATTTAGCTTTATTCCCATTTTTATTATCGAATTTGAAAATCAAGATCTCATGCTGTTAAAAACTTCTTGTTTGCCACGACAACACAGAGTCTGACAAAATAGTACAGGATGAAAATTTCAATTTGCACACATCGATCCTGAGACAAAATACCGAAAAGCACTTGTAAAAATGCTGTGTGTGGAGAAAACAAGGCAGAAGCACTGAAGGAGCCTCAGTGTGGCTGCTTTGTGTGCAGTGCAAAACCTCGCTTCTGTTTATCTGCTTCCGGAGCGACCACAGAGCCCAGCACTGACAGGAATGCAGGAAATACTGCAGCAGTGCCACTGCTCAGCACAGATGCAGGAGCACATTTGGCCATTCAGGCTCTTCTCTTGCTCTGAGGTTACCCCAAAGCACAGCTCGAGGATCCTTTACAGGAATCCAGACCTGTTTTGTGGCAAAAAGCTGCTCTGAAACCTCTTAGTCACAGTTCAGAAATGTGTGCCACAGCCCAAGCAATTCCAGCAGACATCAGAGAGTAACAGCCTTTAACAAAAGGTAAAGGTTGCTTTAATTAAAAGTCAGTTATGCAGTTTTCCAAAGACTATGGACTATCCATTAGCTTAACTCCAGCACTGACTGGAGTGGCTACAAAAAGCTTTTGGAAACATAAATTTTACAAAAAACCTCTTCAATTTATCACTTTTTCTAACTGTTGGCCTGAAAACATAACCATTTTGAATCTACTTAACACCCCATATGAAACAGTCATCCTCAATTCAGCTTCTCAAGTCAAACCCCAAGAAGCAAAAGGAGGAAAAATTAAAAGCTTTACACTGGTGCTGTTCATTCCTAGCCTGAGGCACTGTTATAAAAACACTTGAAAACTGTATGTCTGTACATTCAGCTGGGGGACAAGTGGCCAGCATATGACAGAAGGAGAGGAAATCCTGTCTAGAGCTAATGTGCAATCAGGAGGGTCAGGCACTGGGCAGGGAAAGGGAGGGAGGCAGATGGGAAAGGGCAGCAGAGAGCAAATGCTGTGAATTTCCCTGGCACCTTAGGGATTTCATGGTCCACTTCAAATACTTCCTACTGGACCAGTTTTCCTCCTGTGACACATTTAGCCTTCAGGGCTGCTGATTGCTAACTTCTGATTTATGTTTGTTTCAGCATATTAAAAATATCTGAAACATTTGTTGCCTTGGGGAATACACATTTTAGAATGTCTTGGAGATAGGCAACCTGAAAGTCAAATGTTTCACATTCTAGAGAAGACCATTTGCAGCAGGCTTGTCAGCTGAGCTGCTTGGTGGCTTTGCTGGAGAAGTTACTGAACAGAGACTGTCAGCAATAAAGCAGCATTGTAGTTTGAAAGTATTTTAAAAGGTTTTGTCACACTCAAAATTCAGCAAGACTGGTTTCTGCCATGTTACCAACAGGATGGTAGCAGGATTAATTCAAGTTTGTCAGGGGATGGTTGCTGACAAAAGAGGAAACAGACTACCCAGTGGTCAGCAAGTGGTTGGAACCAAGAGTTGTTAACACTGTACAAAGGAAAGAAAGATGTGTACAGAAAAAAAACCTGGTTGACCTTAAACAAAATTTATCTCTTTTCATTCCCATCTACTTTGGCTATGCAATTTTCTGACTTTCACTGGAAAACTCTCTAACAAGAAGATCCTTTGTGATTCTGCATCTACAGAAGTCATCCGACTGGCTGCCAGCATTGCCTTCCTATCCTGGGGTAGCCCTCTGGGGTAAGCACAGGAAGATGCTTCAAGGTCCCAGCAACCCCAGGTTTCCGTACTGAACTTTGAGAAAGAACACCTCTAGATTAATTGGGTAAAAAGAGAGAACTGAATTTTTCTGTTTTTGTGTTTGGAAAGCCTTGGAAGACAGGAAATGTGATTTGCATAACTTAATAAGCATCTATATTTCTGTATATTTATCTCTGTAGGAGGTCTGTATTTGCCTGTTTCTGACAAACCATTTAATTACAGTGACAGGCTTCATGAAATTTTATTGGAGGAATAATTGGCAGCCACATCTAAAATATTAAATGGTCTTCATTAAGAGTTTATGATCTGGAATAACATTATGAGGTACTAGGAAGGAAACTTAAATAACCTTAAGATAATCAAGTTTCTACTGCAATTCTTGAGTTTTAATTTCTCCAAACTAGTTTGGTTTAGAATCATCACAAGACCCATCCTCCAAGCCAGAAGTATTGAAAATACTATTAGTGTACTTCTGAAGAGGAAACAAAATAGATTTTGGTATCTAGGAATTCCAGCTAAAATGTTATAATCTCTGAAAGAGAAACCTGAAAGAGTTGTAGAGTCTTTTCTTGCAAGGCTTAGTGTTCAATATTAAATATTTTGTCAGCTAAAGTAGTGGGTCAGAGAAGCATGATGAAAACTACCCACTTAGGATGGTCTCCTGATCACTGTGATCCCCCATCAGTTTGATCAACAATATCAGGTTAGAGAGTAACTTTGCTTTCCTGAGAATTCCTAGCTTTTGTTTCAGTTCTTTCAGAGATGAGCACAAGCTAACAATGGATCCCACACAGATATTCTGTACAATTTACATGTGCTCTGGGTTCAAGAATTCTGTGAGCAGAAAAAAATAGAACCTGGAACTTTCCTGCAGAGTGATATCTGCAATTACATCACTCTGAGGAAGACACATGTCCTGTTGATATGAGACTGAAACTGGAAAGCAGAACTGCTGTTTCCAGATTAGGAAAGTTGCCACTGCCAGTCATGTTGGTGGCCATTCACCACTGAAATGGGGGAAGTAGATGGAAACAAAAATTAAGGCACTGCAAGTAGTTCTAGGTGAAGTAAAACTGACTTATTCTTTCTTTAAAAGGATGGGTGAATCCTTAACTGCAAGTACAAGTATCCAAAAGCTGTGTGGCTGAACTTAAACCATGAGGCTTTGATTACTCATTTGCAATAAATGATCTGAGATTCTCAATCATTTCTATGGGAATTATGAATGGTGTTCGTGTCTAAGGACAAAGAAATGTTTTAATTTTACTACTTGAAGTTGGATTCCAAGAAGTGAAATTGGGAGAATTTCAACCAAGAAAAGTTGTCCCCATTCTTACAGGGCATATCATTCCTATATTAATGACATTGAAATAATTTCTAAAAATTACTTGCTTAAATGAAATAGAAGGAAAGAAGTAATTAATTTATGCAGTCAATACATAATTTTCTCACCTATAGAAATATTGAGACAGAGAATTATCACACAGCAGATCAACACATGCAATTAAGTTCCTGAAATGTCTTCTAGAGAAGTCATTATATAGCTAAAATATTCTGCCAGTACTTCTAAAGTGTTTAGAAAAATTAAAGACAGTCCTTTTGGTCTTAGGTTTTTCTTAAAGGTTCATTTAAATTGATCCTAAATCCTAATTCTGGATCAGACAAACTAACCCAGACTTTTGCACTGCAAATATTTTGAGCAATGTTATGTCAAAATTAAGATACATAACTAAGACAAGGCTGTGTTAGTTTAGGGACTGACAGGTTTAAATTCCTGAATATGGGCTATGGACAAAAGGATTGCTTGGTAAGGTCACTGTCCTGTCCAAGGCCTAGATCACAGCACAAGTATTATCTTCCCCTTTGAGTCCATGTATTGTCTCTCTCTGAAGATTTGGGGTCAGAAACACTGTCCAGTGTGCTTTAAATAGGACACAGTCATATTGTTCTCTAAAACAGGAGTCAGGAACATAATGGCTTCTTTTTATAAATAACTATTAGTAAGGTATTAGAGCTTTGCTCATGCCTAAGAATTCAAGACAAACTTTCAATAAGCTTTTATACTCAAGTAATATAAAGAGAAATGTGAAATTATAACATTATTTGTAATTAAATGTACATACAGTAAAAAATTAAAAAAAAAAAACAGACAGAATTTCCGTAGAAGCTTAAAACTGTGCCGAGATTTTCTCTCCATTTTTGCCAGCTGTGAATGCCATTGTGACTGAAAATTATTCATCCTTTCACATGTAAATGTTAATTTAATATTCAATGTTATGGAATCTCAAGAAATGAGTAAATACTTGGTACTCTGGTCAGTATGGACTTAAGACATGCTGACTGCAGTAAATACACTTTCTGTTAAAATACCTGAGGAGGTGGGGTCTTCAGAGAAGTCTGGCAGCTCTTCAGGGGGGTCACCATAGAAGGAGTTGAATTTGTGGCTTGACACAGCTGCTAGTACTGCCCCCTGAATAAAAATACCCACACAGTCTCAATTACACAAAGCAGGATAACAAAACATTTCCAGACCCCTCAGATCACTCAGTCTCCTGAGGTCTCCTGTGTGTTGACCTTTTCAGTGAAGAGCAAATAGAGTTTCTAGTCTTCAGCTCTGCCTCCCTTTTCACAGTGACCATATTGAACAGAAGAGCTGGTGATACACTAATGAACAGTAAAAATATTCTTTGCAAGGGGATTCATCAGAACAGTTCCTTATGTGAATGCATTTTGAAATAACTGTGAGGCATGAATTCACATTGTAGTACAATGAAAACAAACTAACTAATCTCTTTATCTTTTCCTCTTATCTGGATTAGCAGGAATAAAATTTCACTCTTTAAAGCAAAACACTATGTTTTTGTTTTAGAAATGGTCATAATTTGACACTGACAGCACTAGAATACTTTGACACCCATAATACATCAATAAAAAAAAGTACAGTTATATAGACAGTTGCAGAGTCCCAGAATGAGCATTACAGGGGAATTTACAAACCCAGAAAAATGGTCACCTCCTTTGACATATATTTACTTGTTCAAGTAAATTACACTTTAACCACTCAGGTTTTAATGCCTCACAGTTATGGAAGTATGGATGAATTTCATGAAATATACTGCAGAACAGTGCTTTGGATAATAAAAAATAAAAATGAAGGTCTAAAAGCTCAGGAAACTAAATATAGTGGCCTCCCCAGGAAGAAATTCAGGAAATATCTGAAATTGCACCTAGAACAGGAATCAGATCATGTAAAATGTAACAGATAAACATTTTAATGGAAGGATTACCTGGGCATACAAACCACCTAAGAGAAAAGAGCTGTTCATGAACTGTGGCAGCTGTGCATCCTCATCATCAGCCACATGAAACTTTTGCTAAGCAGCAGCTCAGTGTGAATACCTGATTCTGAGTTTTACTACAAACTGTAAACCAGCCCATAAACTGTAATGCTTCATGTTCCTGTCATAATTTTCTGAACCTTTCAGTGAATTCAGAAATATTTCTGTTAAACATTCCATGACAGGAAGAGAAGGAAAACCATGTTGTTTTGGGCTGAAATGTTAACATTCTTTTCAACATGGCTTAGAAATAAACTAGGATGTAGTTAAACATAAATAGGATAAATTGAAGAATATGTATTTACTCTTCTTCCACAAAGACATTAAAAATTACTATGTTACTTTTATTGTAAATGTAACACAATAATAACAGAAGTGATTGCACAATTCTCTCCAGTAATTCACATTACACAGAATTACTGAATTATTGAAGTTGAACACCTCATATACACCTTGACTGATACCAGACAATTTACACTGAAATTTGAAAACTATGCACTACGAAAGAAAGGAAGGACAAACAGCCTTTCTAAGCATTTCAATAAACATCTGTCAAGGCCTGCTGCAACTTTTTATTTTATTGCTGACTTCAAAGCATGGATTTCTCTCAGCACATTTTAAATGAATCAAGTATCACACAAAATTCAAGCTGTGTAATTATATTGTTTTAACACTACATTCAGTTTACCTTTAGTTTTCGTCTTGCATTGAATTTTCTCAACTGTTCTACTGTTTCTGGAAGATGAATCTTGTATGCATAGCGATCTCTCTCCTTGAAAAACCCCACAAAAAACAAACCAAAAGAACATTAAATACCAGCTTTTAATATCCTCTTGACACTAAGAAACCAGACAAGAAAATACCAGCTCATAAATATCCTACAGAGAATGAGAATTTGTTGCAACTTAAGGAAAACTTCCAGAAATTATGAGGGATTAAAGTGCTTTGACAGAATTCTTAACTTGGGCCAAGTATATTTTCTTTTTGTAATTGTTTCCCACCTTGTAGTAAGACCCCAGTGTTTTGTTTTACTGTTGTGCTGTCACTGAACTTTGAAGCAGAAAGCAGTTCTGCTGTTTGGAATTCACAAACCTCAGTGAAGGAACATGCTCAAGCACTCTTTGACAGGGTGCTGGATACTTCAGGTGAGTTTGGGAGATGGGGTACCTGTCCAACAGGGCAGGAAATGCCAACCCAATAGCAGCCAGGGGATGGTACAGGAAGAATTCTCCATTGTAGGTGCAGATGAAAAATGTGCCAATGAACAGTTGCAGTGGCAGAAGGGACAAAACTTGCAGCAGCCATCTACCTTTCCCCCTGAAGCTGTATAAAATCATTAATTTAATGTGTTTATCCCATTCTTCTCCTGAATCAGAGTGAAACCACAGCAGTCTCTCTATGGCACTAAAGACGTCTCTGTCTCATGCTGTATTTGCTCCCATCTATAAATGGTTTGGAAAGCTCTGAGTCAGCAGAGAAGGCAGTTTATTGTAGGCAAAAATGAGAAGACTGACTGGTGGAATGCCTGGTAAACAAAGTTGTCTAAACTAAACCATGTGACTTCCAACAAATAACAACATGGTCAAAAAGAGACCACAGACACCAGAAGTGCAAAGCTGCACAGGCAGAGCTTGCACATGCACATTACCAAACTGTCTTTTTAACAAACCTAATTAGCTTAGTTGCTCAAACAACAAAAATTACAGGTTTTCTGCCAGAATGACCCTCAACCAAGCTCCAGCTTTGGCATCTCAATGTGGGTATGCTCTCACAGTAAAGAAAAAGTCCACTTACAAGCAGGTAAAAACAAATCACCTGTGTTTGTATAATATTCTGGGATTCCAAAACACGGTGTTCATTTCCATACCCTTTGATATCTGATACACTATGTGTACCCCAGACCAACAGACACAACTTTGCCTCTTTTTGAGTAGAATGGCTTGAACCTGCAGTTTTCCAACACACAGAGGAGCTGCCTTAACCACTGCCATCTCTGAGAGGTGAACACTCCCAATCTCCTCTGATAAGCTAGACCATTCTGCAGCTTGGAATACAAGAGTCAGAGGCAGAAAGAGAGCAGAGAAATGAAAAGTGACTCCATTCACTGGTGGTTACACCATTTACTTGGAAGGAGAAGAGCATATGGTCCTGTTCTTCCCAGGTTCTGTCTTTGTGGGTTTCTCTTTGTCTCATGTAGAGCACAAAGAGAGTCCAGCAGTAGACACCAGATCAGCCCCCTTTCAAAATAAGTGCCTTGTTTAAGTGAATGATATGACTTTTCTACCCTGGACAGCCACTACAAAAAAGCAAAGGATAACTTAGAAAATAGTTAATTCATCACCTTCTGACAAAGGTGCTTTGAACCAGCACTTTTCACCTTTTAATTCTGCTGCACAACCCATCATTCTCCAATCCCAATGTTTAGTACAGACTAATGATGGAATGCTGAGAAGCTACAGGTGTATTTTCTCCTTTTCCAGTTGTAAACCTTCAGTGTGCAGCAATTACTCTTCCACTGGCTTAAAGTGTGTTTTAAGTTCTGCCATCACTGAAAAATAATTTCATTACCAGATGTCATATAATTTCATGCAGTCACAGCGGCCTTGGGGCAACACTCCACTACTTCCTTCCTTTTTGGTGGGATATTTTCAAGAATCTAATGTAAGGAAGCAGCACAGTTCAGCAGCATAACCTATGGCAGTAGAGTGTATGGCTACATGACTAACAGGAAAGAGGTATAGATATGACTGAGCAAAAAGGAGATCAGAAATTACTTCTCTGGAGCTTGAGAGCCACAGAAATATACATTAACAACTTCTTTAAGCTTTATGTTATGTTATGCCCTACTCCCTGCACTCTGGTGCTGCTGAAGATGTCCAACTGAGTTTGCTCTTAAGCAAGAGTTTAAGCCTGGCAATTACCAAAATCTCAGGCTCTAATCCTAGAAAGCATTTAAAGCATATTATCCCACATTTTGTACAGTTCATGTCTACTTTGAAAAGCTCAGAAAAACAAAGAAATCCATGGTTTTTTTCCTTAAATGAGAAAGTAGCATGTCAACAGCTGCTTTTACTACCTTTAACCAGGGGTGATTCAGTGCTTCGTACACTGTTATCCTCTCTGCTGGATCCAGCATAAGCATGCGGCGCACCAGATCTTTGGCACTTTCAGAAATATGGCTCCATTGCCTAGGATTCATCTGATTAGGAACAAGAAAAAAAATTAGTAATAAGAATGTAGAAAAGAACTAGTGTTTATCTACAATAATTGCAGAGATTTAACACTGGTTGGTGCTTGCAAACATTTCTGTGTAATGAATGTAAAATGAAATTTCTAAGGGTTTTAATAACTTGTAAAAATGGAATGCTAGTTGTTACTGAAATGGCACAAAAATTGAAGACATAAACCCTGACATGTCCTTAGTATTATGTTATAATCACATTGTAATTTCTACCTACTCTACATTCTGCTCAGATAAAAGTCACCACTCACTAGATAAAGCAAAACATAATTAGGCTCTGTTTAACTGTTAATGATGCATATGATAAATGCAGAAATTAAATCCACTCCTGAAATCAATATATGGCAAGAGAACTTATCTGTTTCAACCCACAATTTCATGCTAGTGATTCTGGGTAAGAAAGGAATGAGAGAATGCCTGTTGTGAACTACACTGGTCCTGTCCTGAAGGTGCTATGGACAAGGGCTCTTCCCAATAAATTCCTTTCAACTTCACAACAGGTAAAGTTTTTACACAAGGAAAAGGAAAATGTCCTTTTCCTTCCTTTCCACAGGATAAGGATAAGACAATACAATAAATCAGCAATTGCAACACTTTCAGAGCAGAACTTTAGGGGGTTCAATATGAAGGATGATTTAGAATAAATTTCCATTCTGTGGATCAATGCAGGTTTTTGCCCAACCAGTCAAAATGATGGACACCTGATAAAACCACAGCAAAGTAAGAAAATTCTTTATGTGATATAAAGGATAATATCCTTAAGGTATTTCTAGTATTTCTTTAAATTATGAAGAAGCTGAGTTTTATTTAGATGATAGATAGCTAACTTTACAAAGAACTAAATGCAAATTCAAAATTATAACCAGACTCTTCTCAATGTCACAATCTGATCATTATAAGAGGTCCATTTTATTTAAAATAAGTCTTAACAAAAAATAGTCACTTTGAATGGGGGCACTCGGCAATGTTATCTGGCTATGAAATGCACATTTATAGCTGTGATTTAATTTCTTTTTCAGCTCTAATGAAATGAAGGTAATTGCAAATTTGACAGGATTTTCACTGAATTGACAAATTATTGTGGAAACAGGAACAGAGAAGGAACTAAGAGGACACAATGTACTGCTTGTAGCTTTTTTTTTTAAAAAAAGAGAAGTTAACTTGTATCCTTCAAGAAGGTTTTAGCTACTTAAGAGATTCCATAAGAAATCTTCCATAAAGTGAAATATCTGTCAGTCTGTGCAACCCCAAAACTAGTGCCATGAAGAAATGCTGCTGTTTCTAAGATTATAAAATGGAAAAAATGAAATATGTGCTCCTGACCAAGTCCAGCAACACTGCTGTCACTTACATTTTAGCAGGCTGTTAAGGTGATATAATAAATCAGACTGTCAGGCAGCTTTGAGAGCTTCCATTTGTAATTTGCTAATGCACAGCTCATGTATGACCTTGGTTCCAAAGCACAGCAAAGCTGATCTTAGGGAAACCCACAGTGAAGTTGCAGCTTTAAATTTGTCTCCACACTGGTCTGTGGGCTGAGGCTGTGAGAGCTTCTGTGTGCACCCTGACCTGCCCTTGGCTGCAAGGGGCTCCTGTTGAATCATCAGCTGCACTTTACTGAACTAAGAAGAAAAACGCCTGCCTGCATTTCTAAAATAACATGCATTTTATTTTAAATCAAGGCAATATGATGATGATGAATGTTTATGACAGCTCTGTTATAAACAGATAACAGATCCAATTTTTGATCTATTAGCTGATCAAAAATTTTAAATTGTTTATAAATCTGAGGTTACAGTACGTTCAAATTCACAGCTAAACCTCTTGTCTTCTTCCTGCTGGGCTCAATGTACAGTTAGGGGCTGGTTGTAATTATTTATTATTTCATCTGAGCACATATTTCCATATTCTAATTCCTAGTAATGATACAAAACACATCAAGTACAAGACAGACTGGAGAGGGAAAATAATTTCTCTTCCTGTGTGATAGATTTCCATAAACTTTAAATCAGGCTAAATACAAACATCAACTTTCAGAAATGTTACCAACAGAGTTCATCTCATTGGAAAAGGATTCATTTATGCTGTCATTTACCTTGTATTTGCCTTTAATAATGCCTTCAAATAATCTTTCCTTGGTTCCATAAAAAGGCAAACAACCACTTAGCAGGATAAACAGGATCACACCACAACCCCAAACATCTACAGGCTTCCCATATGGTTCTCTTTTTACCACTTCTGGAGCCATGAAGTGAGGTGTTCCTACACGTCCTGAATGGAAATAAAAAGAAAATTGAGTCAAAGGGATGTGTGTCAAACATGGAAATGAAGAATATCACTGCAACAAACAAAAACAGTTTTAATACATTTTGTTCATGGTTTAAAGCTTTAAACACAATTCTTTTTACCTTAAGTTTATATTTTTATATATATGTAGTGAGATAAATCAGCATTTTCCCTTTTGCTTAATTTTTACTTTAATAAACTGAGGAATAGTCCACCCGAGCTGGGAGAATGTGAAACAAGACTTGTAAGAGCACTGGGACTCTTCAGTAAAACTTGCCATATAAAAGTAAACCCATCAATTTGGACAATCTTTGAAACAGGAATTATTTAGAGAGCAAATACAAAGATGCTGTAGAGTTCTAGTCCACACTGATAACATGAAAAAGCTGCATCTAATTGGCAAGAGCAGAGTTTGGTCTGATGCTCTGCCCATACCTTGGCTGGTCTACTGAAACTGCCAGCAAAAATGCAAAATGCCAGCAAATGTGGTATTCATTTATTTGAAGAGGGCAGTATCTTACTGCAGATGAAAAGATAATGCTAATTTCACAGAGTGCTTTCATTGAGTGTAATTAATGTTTTCCTATGAAAATAAAATGTATTTAGCACCAGCTGATCTTTTGAGCAGATAAAACTGATTAGAATAACTTAATTCAATTTCTATGTAACACATTAAGCCAAATAAAGCAATTAACATTTTAACTCTCCTTATAAATGTTTCCCATTGTAAAGAGTTTTGTCTCCACTGCAAAAATTAAGCTTGGAATGCTGATGTTATCACTGCCACTTCAAACACTGCAGTCTTTGGACTACTCTGGTTCCACCAAGTACCAATAGAAGAAAAAGAACATCAGTTCAGCAAACTTTCACCACTAGCACCTCCTTCATAAATTATTGTGGCTTACTACAGTGGATTCCAGAGGCTCCATTCCAGGCCTGCAGCACCTGCTGGTTAGGAGAGCCTAAAATGCAGCCCAGAGGATCCAGGATGTTTGCAGGGCATGTATTTAACTCAATTTTGTCTTTGTAAAGAGACTCTTGTTGATCAACCTGTCCTGCTCTCCCTCTGCATGGGAGTCAGCCAAGTCACAGCACCCAGAACACCTGGGGGACTATTTGGACGTGGCTTCCTCAGTAAAGACCATCCTTTGGTTATCCCACCTAATCCAGGAACTTTATCTGACCATGTTCTTTTAATTAGTCCTTTTTGCATCTAAAGGATTAAAATATTGTCAGAAAGACAGCAGCTTTTCAACCATACTCTTAAGAAAAAAACACCACAATTGCCAAATTCTTCATGTGGCTTTCTGTTAAACCTTTTCAACCCCAGTTTAGCAGGGAATTCCTCTGCCAAACAAATGTTAGGGATCTGTCTGTGACAAAGGGGATGTGACCTCATCACTAGGCTAGGCTGGCATCTTAACAAGTCCCTGCAGTCCAGGCTGATCTGACAGCAAAGGGGCAGTTCCACAGAGCCTTACCCAAGTCTTGTTTGTCTCAGTGGAAACTTTTTGAGACTTGGGTGCAAAGGAACCCACATGCAATTTTGGGGCAGGTGTAACCTTTTTTCTTGTTGAAAAAAAAAATCTTTTGTGGTACTAAAGCGCACTTAAATCTTTTTCATAAATACAAATGGAAAATTGTATATTCTCTGAAAATTCTGCCTTCCCACCATGCTTTATAATTGCTGTTATAAAATCTGACAACTGTGGAGAAGAGGAATTACTCTGAAGACAAACAGGGGAAATCAGCAGAAGACAAAATATCACATGGGATAACAAGCTATGTAAAAGAGGCATTAAGGTACAGTTGTCTGGAGGAAGTAGATAATGAATTCATGAACCTTAGATATCAAATGATATCTAAGCTGATTTAATGTGCATTTTCAACAACACCTCTCTCAACTCAGGAACTTTCTGTGGTTTCAATAAGACATTGCAGAGGTAAACATGCTGCAAAAATGACTGTGTGCTGTGAGAACAAAACTTAAAGGTTTGGGTTTTGGCTTTGGAGTTTTTTGTCAATGCACTTAATTCTGCTGGGCATTTCAGTGAAGGGTAACCTCAAGAATATCTTGTGTCCTTGCAAACAATTACATTTTCTCCTGGTGTAAACAGCATATTTAGCAGCAACACATGCTATAAAAGCAATCCAATAGCATGATGGAGTGTAGGAATTTAGGTGTCAAGGTGCTGGTACTGGGGCTGCAGGGGAGCTGCCCCATGCCAGACACAGACAGTTCCAATGGGATCACTGCAGGCACAGCTCAGCCCAGCAGTCAGGACAGTGGTGTGAGAAAGCAGGGAAAGTTTGTGTAAGAGAGGGGAAAAAAACCTGCCCAGCAAGTGAGGAGGTTGGGAACTGTCATTTCCCATCCTCCCTGAACCACCTGGGGCTGGGGGGTGAGTCAGGAGTGAGGGGGTGAAGCTGAACCTGGGAATGTGAGGAGAGGAGGTGGTTTAATTTCTGTCTTTGCTTCCCACTATCCAAATCTATTTGATAATTCAAAGCCCCTATTTTGCTTCATCTGGTGACCTCACATCAGAATGTCAGGCTGCACCTTCACTTGGTGCTCAAGTGCTCTTACAAACAGACAAGTGATGGTCAAAAACCAGTCCCTCTCTGATCATCACACAACTTCTTTCTGCTACCCTGAAGTTAGAAGGTGTTTCTTCCATCACAAGTAGAAGAACTCACTCTTTGTTGGCCTGGTCCAAACCCAGGACACAATAAAAATCCACTTTGATGAACTGCTTGTCATGGAGCAGAAGGAATAGAGTGGTTTAGTGAAAGTAAACACCACACAGCTGTTTAAATCCCCACCAGGCTGCTGCCATAAACCAGATGAAAAATGGATGTTACTTAAAAGCAAACTGAAAAAAATCAGTGCTACTAAACCTTAATACTCACTTTTAAACTTAAAATGAGAACTCCATAAATACAAAAGAAACGAAAAAGAAAACTAGGCTAGGTTAATGAAATCCTATCATTTACCACTGCTAGATTATAATTAGTTGAAACAGTTAGAGACAGATTTGGTTTTGCTAATGCTGATTACAAGATCCCAATACTTTGGATGAGAGGGATGAGGTGGGTACTTATGGTGGTGGAAATCACAATTTTATGTCCATGAAAAAGCAAATCCAGAAGAAGCAGAAACTTAACTGGTTGAGACTGAACTATCCAACAGTCAAACAGGATTAAAAAATGTATATATATATATATATATATGAATATATTTACTGGAATCTTAAAAAGGCTACAGAAGTTTCTGGGCCAGCTGTTGTCCTTGTGACCAATCCACTGGGTTCATCAAAGGAGCAAACAATGATTTTGAAGTCATTCTAAAAACTGACCTGAGCAAGGACTATTGAGCTGCACCTTTGAACTGAACTTAGCTCAGGAAAATGAACAAAGTGCACACATGAACTTACACAGATGGGGAATTTTCCTATGTTGCAACTACAAGAATTGTAAGGAATATCAGTAACAGCATAAATACAGTCAATAGACAGCAAAGTTGTCTAAAACTATGGATATTTACTGCCCTTTAGCTCAAATATCACTTCTGCTGAAAATTATTTAGCAGAAAAACTGCCTTCTAAACATGTCCAGTGTAAAATTTTAAAATTCTTCTCAACAGCTCACTTTTAAAATATTTTAGGGATTTTCAAATTTTCTTTGGTATTTTGGGAGAAAGTCTGCACTTTTTGGAGGCAGTTTGAAGAAGAGCAGTAAGCAAAGGCACTTTTCTCTGAAACAGGTGACTTCTGCCTTCCACAGGCTTTTTATTCTTCAGAATATAAGCACACTGATGGATATATTCAAATGACTGTGCATGAAAAAACAACATTTTAACTGAATATAGATTGCATGCATGCACACACAGAGAATTTTTAGTTGTATCCATATATGAGAAGAAATCATATGGAAGACTGGAATCAATTTTCTGTCTGTGTCCATTTAGATTCTTTGTTCTAGAGTGGCATTAGCTGAAAATCATCACTGTACCAAGACTCAACAGTGGCATGTGGTACCTGCCTCCATCCATTTCACTGCAAATGCCTACACCAAAGTGTTTGCTGAGTTAGGAAGCACTCAGGGTCTGGACAGAGACATCCAGGTTACACTGGTAAGGATACCTTATTTCTAGAAGTAAACTTTCTTACCAGCCAGTTTTTAAGGCATGTTGGCTGCCTGTAAATTTACAAAGCTGCTAATTTTGCTGATTTTTCCTGTAGGTAAACAGAAAGCTTCAGTCTTCAGGTGCTGTCAATCTGATATCATTTATAAGCACTAAAGATAAATTTTGACTTACCTTTGGTAGGTAATTTAGTTTCTATGACTCTTTCCATATTATTCCAGACAATAGGGCTATGCTTTCCACAAGAAGAAGAGTATATACAGAGACCCAATCAGATTTTGTCATCCCTAAGGCAGGGGATTGATGACCAAGATATCAGAAGGAGAGTCTTTCAACAGCAGTAGTATCTGAACGATGTATAAGGAAACAACTGGAACAAATAATTTTTAGGAAAAAAAATGTGAGGTACTAATAAACATCACCATCTGACCTCTCACAATAGTGTAATAAGAAATATGCTCACAAATTAAGGTCCTTCTAAAAGAGTGGGATGTCCAGAATAATGTGGAAGGAATCAAAGAATCACACACAACAGATCAGAGAGGGCAGTACTTTACTACTATTAATTCCTTTCCACATTACTCCAGACAATAGAGATGTTTAAAGCAAGTCTACAGAGGAGATGAGTAGATTAAAAAAAAAAAAGGAAAAAAAGGAGGCAGAAAACAGGGTAATTTAGCTTCAGCACAGAAGATTGTCTGAAGAAAATGTGTTTAAAAGATGCATCAGCAGACAGCTGGACCACTGGATATGAGTGTCCAGAAAACAAACAAAGCAAAGCTCACATGTTAACAAGACTAATTATAATTAATTCAATGGCCTTTTCTGTCATAAAACTATGATGAAGGAAGCAAACCTAAATGATTTCTCAACACATTAGCCTCCTGTAAGCACTCTCAAATCAGCCCAGATGTGAAGTGGCATTTCTGTGAGAAAGTAAACCACAGCTGTATCTTTTAAATGAAACAAAGTCTCTTAAAGACAAAACTGTGGACTCACATTCTTTTATTTTTCAGGAAAAAAAAAAGAAGTGAAAACACTACCCTGTAAGAGAAAGAAGAATAGTAGTGTAGGATCTCAGCTTACAAAATTTTACTTCTCTTTGGAAAACAAACGAAAGCTTCGAAATACCAATCAGACACTGATGATGAAAAGGAAAAAGTGTCTGCGCAGTATAAAAACCCTCCGACATTAAAAACAAACAAAAAAAGAGTTTTCTAATCTGGGGTTTATCAAACCACCAAGATTCAGTTTGGTGAAGCACTGAAGATGCTGCCCAGAGTGATGGCAGATGTTCCACCCCTGGAGATATTCAAGGTCAGGTTGCTCTGAGCAGCCTCATCTGTTGGAAGGTGCTCTGCTCCTACCAGGGGCTTGGACTGGATGAGCTTTAAAGGTCCCTTTTCAACCCAAACCATTTGATGATCATTTTTACACTGATGAGAACAAAACAAAAAATAAGGAACTCTAAAAAAATCTGCCCCCTTTCCCCCCCATTTCATAGTCTTAGTTAGAGGGAAATCTATGGCAATGCCTTCCTTTGCTGTTTTGGTAGTAAGTCTAAAAATACGGCTCACAAGGAACCAAGAGCACTTGGTATTTATGTGTTGTACTGCTACTAACAACACATAAGATGTTTTCCACTAAGAGAATAATTTACATTAGGATTCTACAGGATTTTGAGGCAGTCTAGGGCATCTAACTAACAATAGATGAAAATTAATGCTGGACTGGATTAGCATTATGGTATCTGTGACATTTTGCTGCAGAAGGTAAAATGTGAAAGGCAGTTAACTATCCCCAGATAAAGAACCTCATCCTACTTAGATCTATACAGTTATCTTGGCACTAGTTGAAACCAGGAGAAATTAAGTAGATTAAGTGAAGGAAATACCAGTTGTGAACTTGATGGCTTTTGTTCCTTCAGACTTTTATACCATATACTAGTTAAAAATCCCAAGATTTAGCATCTAAGATATTTGATATCAGATAAATCTGATGTCACATTTAAGAAAATAATATGACAATTCATACTATGCTTCTGCAAGAAAAACTCTTCAAGGAAGGAGACAGAGATCATAATGTGAGATTAGTCTATTAAATCACTGACTTCCCAGAGGTTCCACTACTCCAGCTGCATCATAACAATGCAACACAGACTGTTTACTGTCTTATGGAACTGTGCTGCTCCTTAAAGGAATTCACTTATAAATTATGATGTTCTCTAACTCCTGTGTATACCGCCAGAGTTCCTTTATAAAGTACTTCAAGGCTTCAAGTCACAATTTTCCACTACTGATCATAAGAACTGAAGCAAGAAGAGACCTTCAGAGATTGGTAGCTCATGAAACCTATTTCCCCTAGCTCAGATGACAACACATGAATTTTAGCCATTTATTGCAGCTTAGGGGCAAATGGAGTGGAACAAAGAATATTTCCTTACATTTTCCCCTCTGGCCTTATGAAGAAATGAGTTATGGCTACGTCCTTTTTTTTTTTTGTACTTAACTTACATAAAGTAGATAATAACTAATAATTGAACTTTCTTAAAAATAATGTCAACTGAGCTGTTATTTGATAAAATACAGTCACTCCTAAAATCTCCTCCATACACATTTTCATCAATGACATCTAGTATGATGTCAAAGCTTGTTCTCATGAGCTCTCTTACACTTCTGTAAAACAGCCATCTACCTGCTTGAAAGAAAGAATCCTATAGTTACAATCCTTCTAAACTTCACAAGTTTGTCTTTGGACTTATATAGAAAGATTTTAATACCTGGGGTTTAATTTAACTTCACTACAAAAATCCTTCCCCATCAATTTATGCACACTCTGATAAAGATGCCTTTGTCAAGTCAAAAAATGTTACAGTCCCAAACAAAGCAAAAGCTGTAAGCTTGAAGACTGGCTTCAAACACACTGAGGGAGAAAATTCCCTTTAGTTTGTTCTCCTGGGGCTACACAGAATCTGGGATTGCCAGGCACAGGTGTGTCAAGGTGTACAGAAGTAGGAAAAACAGCACAAAGAAAGCACAGGGGATTTCAGGTCAGCAAAATTATCTTAATGCCCTGATAGATTTTATTTAATAGAGAATTTCTTTTTTTATGTACTAACCACCAAATGCAGGCATTGCCATGCTAAAAGGATAATAATGCTATGCTAAAAGGGAGATAATTGACTATATCAGGAGGAATCAATGTTTTCCACTAAAAATTAGAAAAGCAATGTGAAAGTGAACAGGTTGGTTATGATGCTGCTCAGACTTCTCTATTTGGAGAATTTCTACTTTTTTATGAGACAATTGAGAAATAGGAAGTGCCCGTAAATTATTGTTACTATTATGACAAAACTTTTCCATATGAATAACACCCTTAAACAAATGTGTAGATAAACACTGATTTATAAGGAATTTATAGTCCAGTTCAAACAGCCAGTATTGACAGCTTTCATATAACACATGTGTTATATTGTAAAACTGAATAAGTAAGACCTTGCCAGCTCTGTGTAGGGAACTGTCTAGTAATTTGTCTTCAGGTAGGGTTCTGGCAGGGAAAAGAATTGTCAGACAACAGAGGCAGTTTGTGCTTAGGAGACTGGAATGGAAGATGAGGAGAAAGAGAGGAGTCTGTTAAGGAGACTTTCCACAGTAAATAAATGGAGTGGAATTACTCTGGGTATCCCTGAAAATGAGTGGAATTTGAAAAGGCTGCAAACTGGAGATGCCAGTTGAGAAAAAGGGAAGAAAATAATTGTGTGAAGGCAGACCAGTATGGCAGAAGTTGAGGTGGAAGAAGCAAAAGATACTGATAAATATCACAATGATGAGGTTTGGGATCTTCTGTGAGAGCTGCAAGCAGAACCCCCAGCACTGATCACTGCAAGAGGTTGAGCACAGAACAGGGAGTGGGATCACAGCACTGGGCACAGTAACACAAAAGGAAGTCCGTGGCAAACTTCAGGAAAAATGCAGTAATTTTTTTTTTTTCAAAGTTGAACTTGAATGTTTCTTGCTAGACAATTGGTAATCTGAAAGTACATTGCATCTGACTACCTCCAGAAGAGTGGCTGAAACAGAAGGAGTGGGTAAAGTTGCTCAGCAGAACATAAAGAAAAATGAGATAATTATAAACCAAAGTGTAGAAACTGCCTCTAAAAAAAGCAGTGACTGAGGTACAGGTAATTTGAGTAACACAAGAAAACAATGACTTTTTTTTTACAGCTTAACTGAATGGGTACTTTCTTGGAAAAGATGTCTCTAGTTAATAAGATACTTGGATATTTCCAGGGTATCAGCAATATCTGGAAGGGAATGGAAGCTGTTGATATGTTTATATTTGAATTGCTTTTTATTTAAAAAAATGTACAAAACTCAAATTGACACAGAATGTTAAGTGATTAAATTAGGAAATCAGAGATTTTGAAGATGCATGGTACTGAAGAAAGTTATTAATTCAGAAGAAAAAAATATTAAAAGTAACAAAATGTTTTGTTGTGGTCTCCTACTCTGGCAATGAAAGCATCAGAAAATTGATTGGGTCTTCATCTGTGCAGGCTGATTAAAGCATAACCCTATTGTCTGGAACAATATGGAAGGCAGCTAGAGGAAATAAAATCCACAGAAAACAAAACACAGTCAAAAAATATACATACGTATCAAGATATTGATGTCTTATGCAATAATTACAATGAAATTTTAAAACACAGAAAAGAATCACATGTGAAAACCAGTAAGATTTTGCTATTAACCAGCACAGCATTCTGACAGGAAATGCCTATCCAACAGGGCAGCACTGATGATACTGCACTAAGTCCTTACTCAAGTGCTTCAATGACTGCATTTTTATTTTCTTTGCTTTACCAAGCATGGCAGAATTAAGCCAAAGCTTGTATTAAAGTGGAAAATTCCTTGGGATTTTTCAGTTTTATTTTGATCAAACCAGCATGAACTCTTGTTAAGTAACATTTACAAGGATTTAATGTTTGAATGCAGGTTACATTCCACCACCAATTTAGCTTGGCTGTGTGCATTTACCATGTTAACTTAGTCTGTAGTGAAATATTATTTTTGAGCTCGTTTTGCAGGCCAGGCTGTGTCAGAAGAACAGAACTCTGCAGTACAACATGCACAATACTAAATAACTTAGAAGGAAAATTTCTTACCTCCAGCAACTAGCCCAGACTCTCCTAACTGAATTGCTACCCCAAAGCCACCAAGCTTTACTGGGGCTGAATTCTCTTTTGAGGCAAGCAGTACACAGTGTGGCTGAAAAGACAAAAATTCAGACAAATTATTACACTGTTTGAGAAAAGCAATCTGTATTTCAGCACTTATTTTCATAAATCTGTGAGCAGAGGTTAGATTTCGGTTTTCTTAATTTCAGTTATCTTCTTTTCTGGCATGGACTCCTCTTTCTACATTGGCTTCCCTTCTATTGCCCCAGGCATAGCAAAATCCTTTCAGAACTTATCAGAACTAGCAAGGAACACAAAGTGAAATCATGATAAAATGGAAATAAAAAACTCATGTCTCTAATTTCTTACCTGGTATTACTTTTCGTTTTTGTCTTCCATCCTATTAACCCTTATACTGTTTCAATTCTCCAGCTGAAATATCTTGCTTATGATATGTTTTGTGGGGTCTTATCCTTCCCACAGAGAACATAAAACTCTGTTTTGAGCCTTAATCACAGAATTCACTCTGCACTTCTCAAGTGCAGGAAAGAAAAGGAACACCCCTGGAATATTCCAGTGAGGGATATTCCTTAGCTGTCTAAACTGGAGTCCAGCCATAGCCATCTATACCTTTGGTTTGCCACAAATAAGTGAGGTGTAATGTATAAAAATGAAATAATATTATACAACATTCAGATGGGTACTGACTGTTGCAGGAGGAAGCAACATACAGACAAAATCTATTAGAGCACAATTTGGTATTAAATACACATACCCAAACAATTGCACTTAATTTAGAACTTCTTGCATTTACTCAAAGCCTCTCTTTTCAATACCGTATTATTTAAAATGAAGAACCTCAAATTTGTATACTACTTCCTGAGAAAACATTACTGCTTAAATTGCAAAACTAAGAACTCAAAAAAGTCCACAGGACCTACCAAAAGTTCCTTCTGACTACCTGTGAAGTTTTCATCTCTAACCACCCACATCTTTTGGTAAAAGTTTAAATTATATGAGAACAAAGACTTCAAAACAATGTTCTTGAGATTTCATTTAATTAAGGCCTTGTCATATTAGGTCTTCCAGAATCCACTCTTAAATTTCCAATTTATAAATGTAATTTTCAATTCCTATGCACCACTTGGAAGAGTATCAGCAGGTGGTATTATTGCTGCATATTGTATTTCACTTCTGCCTTAGTGAAATGGTTAAGATGCACACTTTGGGCACTTTCACATCCTCTTGTCACTGTCATTTGGAGTGAGAAAGAATTCTGAAATTCTAATCCCAGGCAAGGAGAAAGGTAGATGGGAGACCTATATAAACATTTACAAAATGTACCACTACACTGTGGTGCTGACTTATCTTTACCCTCTACTGGAAAAAAGTGTCACTACTTCCACAAAGTATTAAAGAGATGACAGATAGTACCAATATCATCATCACCCAAGAAACCACTGGCACAGCTCACCAGAAACAAAACCTCTGAGAAAAAAAACTTCCAATCTCCAATTCAGAGCAAAATTGAGAAAAACTGATTATAGAACCTCTCTCAGCAGAGCTCAAATGAACTGGGTAGAGCCAGATAAAAATGCCTTTAAAAAAACAAAGCAAAGCAGTTGCAACACCAGTTAAAACTTCCCCCTGTTGCCAATTATACGAGTCAGCTGGAGCTCGCCACTTTCAGAGAGAAGCTGCTGCTGCAGCTTTCTAATAAAAGGACCTGCACGTTTCTCCTCCCCGTCCTCACCAGTGCTTTTGAGAACCAGCAGAACTTCTTAATACATAAATGGTAAGTGCATTTTTTTTTCCTTAAGCTATAATTCTCTTAATATCTAGGTTTAAGCACGCCTGCTTGCTTAGAGGTGACGCAGCTTAGGAGAGTGAACAGTTTTGTTCCCAATCCATTCGCCACGTAACCCAAGTTTCTCTCTCATTGATCTAAACTTCCTTATACAAGTCCCTATATCAAACATTTTCATAGAAAAGCAACTTAAACATGAAGTCATTGCAGTAGATGGGTTTCAAGAGATATTTGAAAACATTGCAGTTTGAAATCAATCTCTTGAAATGATGTGCCCTGACAACAGCATGTGGCAAGTATGAGAACAGCTGGTTTGGAAACTGCTAATGAACCCTACCAGTTTAATGCAATTGTAGGGTCAGAAAACACAGGATCTTAAAATATTTTAGACTCTCCTCTCAAGAATTCAGATTCTGTAAGTACATTAGGTCTTCTTAGAATTTTGCCCAAAGTGTTGCCATTTTCACTGCTGTGGCTGCACCACAGAATTAAATGTAAATTTGCATTTTTTAAGACCTAGCATGCAAATTGCATGGCCTAGACACAGAGCTAGCATTAAAGTTATTTTAAAATTACATATACAGCAGTGGGTTTTTTGGTTTTTTTTTTTCCGTAACAGTTGCCAGAAAACTAAGTGCAGAGTGCTAAAACCACTTCTGAAAATTTTGTGAGATTATAGGAAAAAAACTCTTTCCTCTGTAAAACTAAAATATTCTAAATAAACATTTGTATGGCATTTCTTGTTGCTATGACAAACAAGTTGAAGGCTGAAGTTTTATCATTACTTATCAGTGATAAAATCTCTCTGAACGCCTTTATGTGACTGTTCTCCAAACCACACGCTTCTGGTTTTCCTTTGTTGGTCAAGGGTTACTTATAACACAGTACACAGCCAAATAAATATTATTAATTGATGAATGCTTTTTTAATTGAGAACCAGTGAGTTGCATGTGAGAGATGTGAATTATTTAAAATTAACACAGATGAGTTTAGACTTCCTTTAATACACCTCTATGTACTTTGTGTCAACACTGAGAATACTTAGCTATGCTTACCTGTCCCTGCACCTCAGTTAATTTTTTTTTTTGTGCTAGAAATCGTGGTCCTAAGAAGTGAACTTAAAAAACTTATTTATTCTTAGAGATAAAGAAAATTCTTTGCAGGAAAATGTAATAGTTGACTCTTAAAACAACACAAAACAGTAATAACGCTGTAATTACAGAAATATTTGTCTGTGAGTACTCTACACTATCTGTTCTTTCTTGTCTGCAGGTTACCTAGATTTATATTATTTTATGATATCTGGCTGAAACTCCTTCTATTCAGCTACACCAATACTTGGTGCATTAATTCCTTTTAGCTACTGCCTTTTATGTCCATACCACATTAGACTGTAGGCTATAAAGCAAACAGACACTTGAATGGAGATTTAATTCTTAAAATCTCTCTTTGTCTTTTTGCAGAACTGCTAAAACCCCTTTGCAAATGATGGCTGCAACTTCAGCTGATTTACCAACCATTGGTCCACACAAGGAAGAATTCTGGAGTAACCAAACCAACCTGACCATAAATGCCTCAGAAAGTCACAATTATTCCAGCTGTTCCTTGGATGACAACAACTCACTGTCACTTGCTTTGATAGTTTTTTACTCCATTATTTTTGTTGTTGGATTGGTTGGAAATATTGTAGCCCTGTTTGCTTTCCTGGGCATTCATCAGAAGAGGAATTCTATCCAAGTTTATTTGCTAAACGTAGCTGTTGCAGACCTCCTGCTCATCTTCTGCCTTCCCTTCCGGATCCTCTACCATGCCACCAACCGCTGGATGTTTGGGCGGGTTTTTTGCAAGGTTGTGGGAACTCTGTTTTACATGAACATGTACATTAGCATAGTACTGCTGGGACTAATTAGTCTGGATCGTTATATAAAAATAACGAGGTCTGTGAAGCGTCCAAAGATGCTCAGCACTACGCGGAGCGTGCAGATCTGCTGCACGGTGTGGGCCATTGCACTGGCAGGATTTATAGTGGTAGTTGCACCATCTTTCTTTAAGACTGAGGACAGCAACTCTACCAAGTGCTTTCATTACCGAAGCAAACAGAATGCAGAGAAGACAGAAGCAATTTTAAATTATATCACTGTACTGATTTTTTGGATAGTTTTTTTCCTTTTGATACTTTCATATGTTAAAATTGCCAAGAACCTTCTGAAAATTTCGAGGAGAAGGGCAAATTTTCCCAATGCAGGAAAATACACCAAGACAGCAAGAAATTCCTTCATTGTTCTCATAATTTTCACCATCTGTTTTGTGCCTTATCACATGTTCCGGGTTGTCTACATCACATCACAGTTACAATCCCCTTCCTGTTATTGGATGAAGATCATTCACACGTGCAATGAGGTGATGCTCATATTTTCATCATTTAACAGCTGCCTAGACCCAGTTATGTATTTCCTAATGTCCAGAAGTGTCCGTAAGACTGTATTCCAACTGATTTGCAGAAAACTTCATGGAGAGAAAAGCCTAAACCTGGAGAGCACTTCAGACATAAAACTTGGCCAATACGCCCAAGAGCGATTATCTACCACCACTCCTTACTCCAGCTACTCAAGGAAGAAGTCTGTGATTTGAATGTTTAAATGGATCTCTGTCACTTCAGGTGACCAATTTCAGATCACAAAATCCTCTACTCTACAGCTACTAATTCTGCCTCTTTCCTCCTGTTAAGAAAAATGAGAAGTCGTACTTCTGGTTTGTGAAAATGAGAAGTTACTTTTCAGAAGAATTTTTTCGCTCTTGTTTATCCAAGAAAACAAACTAGGAAGTTCTCAGACATTTTGTGTTGGACTAAACTAGAACACTAACTCTTTAGGGACATTTCCACAAAGGGGTTTGAACCTGTAAAAGTAAACTTGTATATATACATTAATATTAGTAGCTTGTATATGTAAATAATAGATGAATTTTGCAAAAAGTAAATTCTGTCCTATTTGAAAGATCTAGATACCATTACATGTTTTATGTATTTTATAGTTTTCTCTGTTTTAATAGGTTTCCAAGAGATCAGTATTTTTTCTACATTTATAAATGCATTTTTAAAGAAAATATTTGAGAATTTAGCAACATGCATCTTAAAAATGAGGTGAAGAATACAACATCTATCAATTCAGTTTTAAGTGTAGAAGACACTCTTAGTTTTATTAAGCAGCAAAATTAAAATATTCAATCCTACAAAGACCTTTGTATTTCCAACAATTTAATGAGTGTCAAGGTCAAACACCTGA